TGTAAAATTGTAAATCTGATGAATTTTTACAATTCAATTCCAGAAAATATTTTGCAAATGAACAGAAACAGGATGAATTAATTTGATACAACTGGAAATGTTGTTGGATAAGAAAGAATATTTCATTACTTTGCTTCATGAGCCAATACTCCACTTCAGCACTCAGGGATTCTGACATGCTTATTTTGTCAATGAACATATCTATATATAGGCCATCTACAAATCAATGAGCATGGTACATTAACACAATTCAACAAGCATACATTTTCATCAATATATTGTTGTTGAATGGCTTTTCCCAAAAATTGAACTCAAGATGAGAAAATTTCCATTTCCCTCCACAGTGCATTAAAAGCTAAAATAGCATCAAACAGCTTTATATAGTGATTATTAGTGAGTTATTGTAACGGAATTGAAAACTTTATGAAGATAACTATTATTAATGGAGTGCTGAAAAATTCTCTGCCTGACCAAGTAATCCTTCCAAAATAAGTTCTATTTGGTAATTTAGTCAGTATTTTGAGAAGTGGGTCAAACTTAGAACTTTTCAGTACCCACTGATGTCGTTTTTCTCTCTGTTCAGTGTTTGTTTCATATGAGCAACTATTTTCCATTGAAATTTTTCAAATTTATTTTCTTTTTGCTGTTTATACAATCAGTTCTTATTTCCTAGTAAATGGTCATTTTCCCTCAGAGGTAAATCTGATATTAAACAATTTCCTATTGGAAAATAAACATCTCAAAGGCTTGGAGTTTATTCCAAGTTGGTCTTTTTACTTCATTCCTCACATATTTCTAAGGCATTTTGAGCCATCTCATGAGTATCATCTAAGTTAGATATTAAATTACCTTGAAAAGAAGCAAAATAGAAACCATCTATTAAAATAACAATTCTTGTTTTATTTATCTGACCTACAAAACAAGTCTAAGAAACATTTGCAAATCTCAAATTTAGATAGTTGTAATTTAAAAGAATGGAAAAGAGTGAAAGAAAACGATTAACGGAAATGTTTTAAAGGTATCCAAAAAAAGAATATTAAGTCAGAAAAAGCAAGAAAATGGAAATAATAATAATAATAATAATAATAATAATAATTGTAGATATTATGGTTGTTATCTTGTTTTTTTTTTATGACTGCTGTCAAATTGTCTGTTATCTTGTGTGTGAGCATCAGATTTCTAAACAGAACAAATATGAAAGAAGGAGCAGATTGATGGTGAGACAATTCCTAGCAGTTTTATAGCTCAGCCAGTAGAGAGATAACAGTTTCAGCAGCATCTTTTTCACTGCTATCATCTCCTGCCCACTCTTCATCAACTTTTTTTTTCTTTTACAGCAGACTTATGAAGGAATTGTCACTGAAATGGAACATTGCAGCTTATATATAACCAGGCCAGTTGTTTACCGTCTGTCTTGCCAACTGCTGCTACTATTACTTTTTTTATAAAATAGATATAATTGTTAATGAAGTCTGTATCTACATTGGTGAATGAATAAGACATACATACAAAATTATTAAAATAGCCTTGAAAATATTAACACAATGTATACTGGACAGGAAGTTGTTATTAAATTCATTATTTTCTCTATTTTTCTTGAATTCCGTCTATTGATATATCATATTTCTATATCCACATTCTGTTAAAGATTCTTATGCTTAAAATTACTCAAACAAAATAGTTTTCTGTTTTGAAGGAATTCTTGGACAATAAAATTTAAGTCTTTTTATAATATCAAACAATTACATTTTTAATGAAACTCACTTGACCCATCTTAGATTTGATCATTTTTTTTAACTATGCATTTAAAAAAAAAAAAAAAGTGAAACTTCAGCAGGTGATTTGCAATAGTGCTTAGATGTGGCACAAGGCTGAATGTAGGAGGCACCCAGTGAGGATCAAACTCACTACTCAGTCATATTTGTTCTAGCGAGACAAGCTTGCTAACCATTACACCACCTCGAGGTGCCCCAGGTGATTTGCAATATACTAGCTAGCTCAGTGTCAATTCAATCAAAAGATGCAACTCAAATAAAATTACAAATAGTATCAATCATTTGACAAGTAAATGTAATTAGTAAAACTGAACTAACCAAGAGTATCAAAGTAAGTCTTGTCAGTATGTATATGATCAGAGGAAAAAATGCATATAATAATTCTTACAGTGAGTCGTTAAAGAAATCCACTCATGCTTTATTTGTTGCATTTTATAAATGTTAACATTCCAATCAAGAAAATCACTTGTTTGGCAAATCGACCAACAGATGTCACTGATCTGACACATTGACAAAAACATGCACAAGGAAGAGAATAAGAAAGAAATATAGTAAAAAATTAAAAATTATTTTTCTTTTTTTTTCTTTTTTTTATTTTTCTGATATTTTCTTCTTTATACAAATTCATATATTCTACTTTGTGTGTGAGAGAGAGAGAGAGAGAAAGAAAGAAAGAAAGAGAGAGAGAGACCCACATTGAAACTAAGAAATTCAAAAATTAGATCAAGTCTCTCCAGAAGAAGCAAAGACACCCAATCTCACATGCAAACACTCATATTAATCTTTTTGGAGATAATAATGCTAACTATTCAAATTAATATCAAATAATCAAGAAATTAACATTAGCCAACTAAAAACAAATGATATAAAGAAAGAACAAACTTGTAGGTTATCTTTACTAAATAAACAAAATGATAATATCAAAAAAGGCAAAGCTAATAAAAGGGTTTTTTTTTTACTTTAAGAGAAACAAAATCTAAGACTACATATAAAGTATGAAAAGTTTTCATTTTTTATAACAACAAAAACTGATGCATGAAAATGTAATAAATATTTAATTAAGAGATTTGGAAAAGGTATATATAAATTATTTCAGATTTTCACTAATATTTATATTTGGTTTCATGATTAATTTATGCATTTTTTGTATTTCCCGTCTTTGAACACTTATATTATTAAATAAATTTTAAAAAAAACCAAAAGTTTTCTTTGTTAGTGCTGTTGTAGATATAAGAAATCATACAGAATTCCTTTACTGATTGAAACTTATTCATAATGTTTATTCAATGACAAAGACTCATAAAATTAACCATAGTCAAATTCTATTCCAATCAGCTGCAGGCAGTGAAGTAGCTATTAATGCGTCTAGGGAAACATAATTTTATCATTGTAAGAAAATAATAATTAATATTTGTAATAATAAACTAATTATTATAACTAGGAAAAAAAGGAAAATAATCACATGACACAAGTACAAAATGACAATAATTATAAAATATCTAAATTTGAGGATGGTAAATCTTTCCTAATCAAGTCCCATGTAAATTGTAATCTTTAATTTCAACTAATTTCTGTCCTCGTTAATCTGAATTTATTGAATGCATATCTTTTTATTACTTACTCCTGTCTTAATAGTAAGTCTGATCAGTTCAATAAGGTCAAATTAGTTGCTGATCTAAAAAATGACCTATAACCGGTTGTTAACTGAGGCAAGGAGTGGCGTGTTAATTTTAATGCCTCTAAAATGAAGCTGCTCTCTTTTAATCATCTGAGGGAACCCATTTTGCCTTATATTAATATGACTGATGCTAACCTCCAGGCAGAATGACTGATTGCACCTTCTCAGGCTAGTGTTTTCCACCGACATAGAAAGATTATCTTGAATCAATTGTTACTCTGCTGCTAAGAAAGTTGGTTCACTGTTGGGCTAGACAATATTCCTCAGCAGAATCTACCTTATACATTTATAAATCTATCATTTGTCCATGCATTGAATGTTGCTGTCACATCTGGTTTGGTGTTTCTGTTATGTATCTAGAGATTATTGATAAACTCCAAAGAAGAATCTGCAATGTTATTGGTCCTGACCTGACATCTCGGCTTCAGTCACTTTCTCACTGCCATAATATAGCTTCCCTGTGCTTTTTCTATAAATACTTTAATGGCAATTGTCCTGATGAGCTTTCCTATTTGATACATAGACTTTATAATTTAAGCACAGCACTAAATTGGGGACAAGGTCTCATCATTTTACAGTTGAAATTGTTAGATGTAAGCGTAAGTTTTATGCTAACTGTTTTCTCTCTCATGCTTTTTGCTTGTGGGACTCTCTTCCAACTTCTTGCTTTCCAGTAAACTTTGATCTTCAAAAATTTTAATGCAGTGTCAGTGGTTATCTAATGTCTTCTTAATTCCTGTTCTTTTATTGTTCTCTCACCTTAATAATATTTTCTTTACTCATATTATTCCACACTCAGTAATTTCTTGTGTTTTAGTAGCTTTTTTGCTAATAGACTAGTTGCCAACCAAGGCTATAGGACACTGTCCTGCTATTTAACCCAGAGATAGGGAAGATGGATTCATACCATTTCCCAAGGGTGTTTGTATATAAGTCAAGTGGAGCTTAACTTGGCTCTCTGATTTCTCACCATCCATCAAACCACCTTACAACACCTGGTATTCCCAGGTGACCACCTATTGATGTACAGAGCAAACTTAATGTTGCTTAACTTCAGTGATTGTACAAAAATTAGTGTTTCACTATGATATAGCTGTAAGCATAGTGTTTAGCTAATACAAAAAAATCATTTTACCTTTTCTATTAATGAACATTGGTTTCATAAAATGAATACAATCAATGTTTTTTTATTTCTACATCTTTAGCATCAATTCTACTTAAAACCTATAATCTGTCAAAAATCAAGGCAAAATTTTAGTTTGACAGTATTAAAATTAGTCATGTCTAAGTGAAGCTCTTTTCTATCATTACATGCTCTTTACAAAAGATGGGAAATTATTGATGATAAAAATCATTGAGAAATGTTCTAAAAGAATTGAATAATTTAACAGAAATCACAAGTTTGAGAAATTTCAACCTACCTGCCGGTTTCTCTCATCCCCAATTCTCGAGATCTGGATCTTTTTCCTTCCCATTTCCGTGGATGTCTGAATTTTGTACTGTCGGAAATTCCACTCACACACAATGAATAGTGGTTGATATTATTATCACCACCACAAATTTCTGAAAGAAAACAAGGAGATTCTTGAAAATCTGTTATTCGCATTCGTATACATAAATGCTTTTCTCAATATCAATGCGTAATAAGCTGAAAATTTGTAAAAAAAAATCTTTCCTTTTAAATCTGTTCTCATCTCTTATATACTTTGTGTTGCAGATTATGCAAGCACGTGAAGCACACAGCAAATGAATTGACTAAAATATATGAAAAAGAAAGAGAAATTCAAGTCTGCTTTAAAAAGTTATTCTATTACTGTTTATTGAAAGGTCTAAAATGTAAATATCAACATTTTAAAGTTAATCAGTGTGACATGTAATTTATCAGCCTAAGAAGCCAGAAAAAAGCATTTTTCTATCTTATCTGTGCTTCTTAAATTAAGCTTGTGTTGAAATTAAAGAAAATTCATTTCTGCTATGGAAAAGAGGTTCAAGGTAAAATAAAGATTCACTTTGCTGCTGCAGCAGCCTTCAAGAGTTAAGAATTGTGCAGCTTTTGACAGCCAATGAAAATGAAGCATTGAGTTCACCTTGTAAAAAGCTGAATACACCTTCAATAAACTTTCCCCCTACCCAATCTTGCAATGCTCTGTGCATATATTTTATCTATTGATTGACTTTCACTCCAAGTTTTTATACAATGAAAACAATCCCAAATTTGAATATTGAAAAAGCATAAAATGTTATTTTTCTCATTCAGACAACTCAATCTATTTACTGGATTTTTACTTTTCACACAAGTAGAATTTCTGATGACTTTGTTGTTCATCATTCCAGCAGAGTTTCTAAAATGTCATTTCTACCTTTGAAATAAAATATATACAAAACAAATACTCACAAAATTTCATACATAATTACATATTTACTTAATATCATCTATATAACATGAGTTTCAATATATAATGCTAACTGGTTATGTTGATGATGAGGGATGCTGAAAAGTTCTCAGCTTAGTCTATTTCCCAAAATCTGACTAAACTTCATATTTTGGTTGGAGAATTTTTTCTGTCACTTATATGGACATAACCTTGCTTGGTATATTCAAAGTAACTCTATAGGAGAAAGTTTACACTTGTTTCTGCTTCTTTTCCATAACAAATTTTGTCTCACTGATAAAAATACAGATATTCCTAATAAAGAAAAAAATTGCTTACATTGAAAAACAATTGTAAGTTAAATCTTATAGTAAACAACTAGAACAAGACACTGAAGTTACTGAGCAAGTGAAATCGGGTTTAGGTTGATTGCATTTATCAGCTCTTAAATTCATTCAATCTCTGAAGAGACCTCTGACTTAGTAAGAGATATTCAAATATCTAGCAAAAAAATGACAAGAACAGGCAGTAGTGACATTTTCAACAACTGCAGATTTTGGATAGTATTACAGGTGTACAAACAGAATTGCAGAAAACTTGACATCATTAACAAATATTCTTTCCTGTGATAACTCTGAGGAAAGTTTTTTTATATGTGGATTAATTCCAAAGTTGTACAAACCTGTTGATAAAACAGGAGAAATATTTACAAAAGGCAAGTACTGATATTTTTCTTGGATTTCTTAATTTATTTTAACCTTAGGGATCTCAGGCTAGAATTTAATTAGATTCTTAAGTCAACAAACCACACATACCTTTCTCAAATAAAAGAATATTAAAGTAAAATTCGATAGCTATCTTAATCACTGAAAGTATCTCTTAGTTTATTCTATCTTTCAATCATAAAATTAGTTTCTTGAATGGACTACTAAAGCAAGGATGAATATTCACTTTTACAAATTTTTCACATAGCAGAACAAAATCACTATGCTTTCAAAGATTTCTGTTTACTATAAAACTCATAATGTCCCATGTCACAATTGTTTACCTTTTTAAAACTTAGTCTATCCTAATCTTTGTACTAATTGCAAGGAGATAAAAAGAAGCCCACCTCTTGAAAAATGAACAAATTGCGTTATTACTGCTCACTAAGGATGGATGGCAGTGTTGGGGGAAAATATACTTTTTTAAAAAATTGGAACAGAACATACTTATTTTAACTTATAAAGTAAAAAGAAACGGAAATTGGTAACCCATAAAAAATTGTAATCATCATCATCAGTCCCTTGACTGCTTCAATTGCTAGGGGAACCCAAGGGCAAAAGAAACAATCTTTGATTTTTCTTCATAATGTCCTTACAGTCAGCACTCATCACCTCTCCATTCTCTTGACCAACAACCAAAGACCCTAGAATATGGTGTGGGTCACCATCAGTCTGTACATTAGATCTTCAGGTTTTGACTTCAGTTGTCATTCTCCTAGAGTGGTTGCCACCCAAGGCTATAGGAACCACTCTGTCCTGCTATTTTATTCATACCTGTGAGGAGAAGAGATGGTTTCATGCCTTTCCCAGGCATATTAGCATGTAAGTGAATGCAATGAACTCCACTGGAATTTGAACTTGGCTCTCCAAATCCTCAATTCATTACTCCACCGTGCTTCCATCATACTATTTTCTCAAGAGCAATAGTACCATGAAGTAATAAGCAAATTTCTTACTACCAAAAATAATGTAAATAAGGATTAATGTTTTTTCCCTTGCCAACAATAAAAAATTTTCTCTTACAGGTTTCCCTTGAAAAATACATTCCACAAAGCAAGTAACAGTAAAGTCTAATTTCTTTAGATTTCAATGTATGAAGTGATAAAGGTTTATTGAATTTGAAAGAGCTGTTAAAGAGACCAAAATTCTAAATACTTTCACTCTATAGATGGGCTGACAAGTTTGTTTTTAATAAATCTGAAAATGTTGACAAAAGTGCATTACACATAAAAACAGTATCCATCTTTTGAGGTTCACTTCAGTACTATCTCTAGAACTTGAAATCCTAATGAAAAAAAAATTATATTGCTTGCTTTAAAATCTGTGAGGTGTACATCAAGATTATTTTGGGAATGAGTAATATATTAATAGACTCTTCAGAAATAAGTGAGGAATAAAGGACATGTCCTGTGGGCAGGTGATAATCCATTCCTCTATAGGCATATGCAGTTAATAAATATCAGGGCCCAAAGCAATAAAACAAACTCCACACAGACAACAAGGGAAGTAATGGGCTTTCCAGAGAAAAGAGTTACTAAAGAGAAGAAAAACAGGGCTGTAATGAGAAAGGCTACAAGTGGCTATCACAAACAAAGCATAGCAAGTATGTCTCAAGAAAATATTACAATAGAAAAGAGAATAAAGCAGCTAACTGATTGCTGTAGCATGGTTCACTGGCTGTGTTTCTATCTAATACTTAATGCAGCCATGCCTGATTGACAGGTCTTGGCAAGTTGGTGGTCACCTCTATTAGCAATACTATTCACCATACCTTGAAAACAGCTTCTCAATGATCTGGAGCCAGTATCCTACCATTTCCAATACTGCTACTATTAATGCTCAAGCTGCTACTGCTACAACTGCTGCTGAAGTTGCCACTGGCACCAGCAGCAAAGCTGTTGTAGGTTCTTGCCAAAATACTACTGGGTTCACACCTCACATGGGATAACACTTAATATGGATAGATTCTGCATGCAGAAACATAGCAGCTGGGGTCAATATATATATATATATATATATATGTGTGTGTGTGTGTGTGTGTGTGTGTGTGTTTGTGCATAGTTTTGGATAGCTATCTAAATTGCATATATCTAGATAAAAAGAAAATGAAATATAACTACACATTTTTGTGTATAAAAAAGCCAATCTATTACAAGTACACTTATCTCATCTTGTTTCACCAGCATGTGTGAAGAGAGAAGATGCAAAAATCCATAAATCTGTGTTAAAGTATCATGGAGATAAAGTTTGCATGGATGAATAAACAAATATACATAAAGTCTTGGAAATAAAAGTTTCCCCTTAAAATAAAAAGAAAAAAAATGTCTTGCTAGCTTAAGTAAATGTCATAACCTGATGAGAAAGACCTGAGGAAGAAAGGAAAACATGATAGACAAATGAGGAAAAATATTTAAAACATTGAAAATTCAATATGTTTTAGCATATATTTTAAAGAAAAAAAATCAACAAAAATGTATTCATGAACTCAGATATGTTATAGGTGTTTACTTTGTTCAGGTAGTTTTATTGGTAAATACATATATGTGTTGAAAAAGGTAGGCATATTTCGAGGAAAGATGGTCCATTTTTATCGCTTGTAACTATTCAGCTTCACCTGATTGAATTCTTACTTCTTTCACCTTTGCATAAAAGCAAGAAGGCAAATAAACACAATGATGGCATGGAAGATAAAGAAACATTTACACTGTTAAAAGTGAAAACGACAAACAATTTCTACAGAGGTTGAAAGTTTGCAAAAAAAAAAAAAAATGTCTGACTTCTCAGAACCAAACCAAGCATGCATTAAGCCAAGAAGAGTGTCTTTTGTCATGGTTGATTGTTGATAAAGCTATTTAGGGAAGGAAGCAAAAAGGTGGAACAGTGCATGAAAAAGAAAAACAATGAGAAAAAAAAGTGAGTCAAAAGTTTAATGGCTCAACAAAGTGGAAATGAAAAGGAATGAAAGTTTGAGAAAAGAACAATTAGCAAAGTAGAGAAGAAAAATGAACAAGAGAATGAAGGAGTGAATAAAATAATTAGAAACCATCAAGAAATAACACAAATTTAGGTGAATACCACTTGATACACAGAATTATAACTAGACTTGTAGCTATTACAAATATTATAGTGTTCCATGCTATTATTCTTTGTTTGTCTTCTCGATTCCAACTTTACTTGTTTGTATATTCTTGTAATGTTCAAAGATGGCTGTTGCTGCTTTTGTATGTTCCTAAATAAGTAGCAAAAAAAAAACAAAAAAAAACAGCAGAAAGATTTAAATCTATGTTTGAAAATAAAGTAATTAAAAAAAAAAGTCAAATAAAGAATGAAAAATAACAAGCCATGTAAATTACAAAGCAAAAAGTTCTTTAAAATTCATTTCATTAAAATAAACGTAGATAAATAATTTCTCGGATCAATTGATTAA